GTCAGGGTATTTTATGATGTTAGTCAATATTAAATGCAGAATTTCCTGCATTTCCACTGATAGTTGCATATGTGCTGGCCTCACCCCTCTGTGGCTGAATCAGTCTAATATCATTGCACTGAACGAACAAGTTACCTGATGCTGAAATTCCTTGGATTTTTCCCTACATACCAAAGCAATTTCCTTGATGTGCTACAGTGGTGCTGGGTAATGTCCAGTGTCCACCTGCTCTTGTCAAAAATTGCCTCCCTAATTCCTGATCCCAAGTAGGGCAGACATGACTGTGGCATCCAGCCTTTGTTGCAGCTTTGTCACATCCCTGTCAGGAGCACAGAGGGGAAGGTGGAAGCAGAATGCTGCCTTTAAAATCTGCCATGCAGGGATCCCAGCTTGGAACCAGGAGCTGAGAGAGGAAGTGCCAGCATCCTATTACTGGCCTTATTTGGGGGTGCTGCTGAAAGTAATTTCTTTTTCTGAGATTTGCAAGCTGGCCTGTCCACTACAAAAAGGTTCCTTGCTCCTTCAAGTGATGACCATGTCATTAAGGAGCTGAGCCTCCGAACCTCGTGGCGCTCCCACCGTACTTCCATGGGGATGAGGGAATGACACCAAGGCCACCAAAGATGAAATGGCTGAAGATGAATGGCTGAAACTGTTTTATTTGTGGTCACTGCCATTTCATGGGATATCTCCTGTTGCTGAAGAAGTGACACCAACACCAACATCCATGCTTTCAGAGGGCTGGTGAGAATTGCATTGCAAAGAGCTCATGCGTGAGAAGGCAGGGCTGCCTTGGTGTGACCCATTTATTACATGGGCCAGACAGTGTCCTGACGCACTTGGGTGAGGACCCTTGTTTACAGCTGTAACAGCTTTTGGGACTATTGCTCACTGACAGTCCCACCATCAGTCACCTGCTTCAGGGGAAACCCTGCCAGAATGAAAGGCAACATTATATGCCCAGCTCTTCCTGTCCAGCCTCCTTATGCCTTCATGGATGCACATCGTGCCCTCACACCCTCTTATGTTGATGGGAGGAAAGTGATTAAACTTAATCCCATACAGCAGTGTCTACTAAAAATAATGAGCAGCATATGAGACATTGTTTTTCAGCTGATTTACAAAAACATCCCGTGAGGGGAAGAGGAAGTATCTCCTTGTCTGGCACTTTGTTTGGGAAATACCACTTGTGCATCCAGTCTCAGGTATGAAGGCATGAGCTGGCTGAGGGGACCAGGCAGGTTTTCACCTAGGAACCACGGTGCAAACATGACCCAGGGCTGCACTTGTCCAGCCAGATGCTTTGGTAAATGGAGAGTGTTTTAGGGTGGCAGCTCCGTCGGTTTGCTTCACTAGGTGGGTTTGTTTTGCTTTTTTGATATCAGATGCTTGTGGGTGAGTCAAGTGCATTTAGATTGCAATGCCATGCCCCAGTGATAGGATTTTCCCCCCCCCATCCTTTAGGAAGGAGCAGGCCACAAGCATCATGCTATGTAGGTGACTGGACACTGCTCTGGAGGGCTGGAGAGGGGCCAGCCTCCAGTGGGAAGCAGGTGAGAGTGTCTGAATGTTTTCACAAGTCTGATGAGTCACACAAGAATGATTTGCTGGTGAAACTTTGCAAAAACAGACCTCTGTGCAGCACCTACAGTAGCATCCTGAAGGACCTTCTCAGGACCACTTCACTGATGCCCTCTAAAGTAAAACTCTTCCAGGCTTCTGCTGGTGACTAAGTGGGAAAGAACAGGGAGTTGCATCTCTTTGATTTTTGGTTTTTTTTTCCTGGTTTTTAGAAACAAGACCCTTTGGCCCAGAAATTCTTAATCCCCTTTGCATTGGGATTATGAGCTACAGGGATGGTGTTCCTTGCCTGTGAAGCTGAAAAAAAGCAGTACAGTGAGTGAGCAGGGAGCCTGCTGATGTGCTTGGCATAGCAGGGGAGGACCTCAGGCTCTCCTCTGCATGGACACATCTTTGGGTCCCAGCAGTAGGGAAGAAGAATGTGCTCTGCACTATTCCTCTGCTGTTCCCTTGTGATAAGCAGTTTCATTTCCCAGTCTTCCTAAACTCCAGCTTTGAACTGTGGAGAAAGTAAAACTTTGCCTGACAAAATGCTGTATTCCTTTCTGTCTGGATCTTAGACAAAACCCTTAATTTGGATGTCTATCCTTTACAAAGAGTACTCCTTTACAAAGCTGCAGCTACTCTGGTAGAAATAATAGGCCCCCAATACCACCCAAATATTCTGCAGCCAGTATTTAACAAAAAATACTAGAATAGGTGTATCATTTTGAAGTTCAGGGTCATGGTTGTAGTTATTTTCCTCTTAAAGGCAGAAGGCAAAGCCTAATCCACCAAAACATACCTGCTGGCACTTTGCTCTTGCTCTCCTGCTTTTGCCCTGCTGACATGGAAGCATTGACGGAATTTGCATAATACAATCATGCTTTCACAATCCACAAAATAAAACCCAAGTGATAGCAACCTTTGTGACTCATTTTTCTTGTAAACACTTCATATTTATTATCTTAGCAAGAATTCAAGACATACATGCATGAGGCATACAGCAACACATTTGGCACACATCCAGAACAGGCCTTACGGAAAACAAATTCATGTTGATAAAGTCATAAAGCAGATCCTTTGCAGAAGTAACAAAAGAAATCTAGGATGGACATCAGCAAGCACTTGGTCATATACTGGCACTGATGTCTTGCATCTGTGCCTTTTTCCTGAGTTCCTGTTGAACACTGCCATTCTTAACAATGCACAGAAACACCTAAAACATTTCAAAAATCCAAATAGTCTTTGCATAACTAGGCAGACAAATACTATGCTAACAGTAAACTTGGATATCCCCATGACAATTCATGTATGAGTGTACTTTTTTTTGTAATATTTATATGTGCTACAGCCTGAAGAACAGAGTGGGTTCTACAAATCCACACCTCGTTTCCTGTTGACCTTGGAAGTAGCATTCATTGAACATAACAGTTTTATTCACATACTTTTCAGCTACTAATGTGAATGCTAATGCTGAATTATTCTCAGAGTTCCAGACAGTCATGGTCATTGTTCGGTGTCCTTGATGAAGATTCCAAGACTCCACCAAGTGGAGGATACACAACTGCAACCCTTCTTATGAAGCTGAAGCTGTCTTTGATGAAGTTTTGCCCAGCTGGATGCAGTGCTAGCTTGGGAGCTGGTGTTCTGCTGGTCTGAAACTCTTTGCCTTTACTTTTTATTACCTGAAAAACTCACCTATGTACATGTCAGGAAAATGCACTGCTTTGCAGTATAAGATAAATAACAACTATTTTTGAAATACTGTGTTCTCCCTGAAAAGGAACTGGCTAGCTTAGAGGGGAAGGGAACCATGCACAAGGCTCAAACCAACAGCAAATCTCTCTGTAACACCGCTGGGATGGATGGAGCTAAGTCTTCCATTTGGAAAGAAGGCAAAGTCAGTCAGCTTCTGCTGAGTGACAGAAGTCAGTGTCAATACATGACAGCCCCTGCACAGCTGGTTGTGAGAGTGGCCAGAGTTACGTAATGACAATTTTGCAAAGGCAGATTAAGAAGATATAACAGAAAAATAAATTATAAATACAAACAAGAATTCACCACAAGACAGGAGAAGACACATAATTTGAATAGACACAAATAACAAACTGTAACTATACAGCCTTATCAAATGCAAATGTGCTCACATACAAGGGTAGTTAAGAGAAGTAACTCTTACCAGTGACCTTAGAGGTAGCTATGAAACAGCTTCAGCCTTTTTCTTGGTATCTTGGACCCATGAAAAATATTGTTTAGGATGGAGCCTAACAAGAATTGACTAGAAAAGTTACTGTTTGTCTTGACAGTAACCAATGTGTTTAATTCAGCTCCTCCGAAGCCAGCCAAACGTAATATCCCCTCAGTGAGATGGGTCATTCCCATGTAACCATCCACTGGATATGCTGCCACAGCTCCACCATTCTGGAACTGAGATGAGAAGTCAATGAAATGAAATGGAAATAAAGTACAAGGAAGAACCTTTGTCCTTAAGTATAATTAAACATTCAAAAATCTAAGGTTACTTTCTTGGACTACTCAAATGCTCAATTCTATTGCTATTATTTCTTCAAAGAGAAGGTAGTTACCTTCTTTGAATAAATAACATTCTCAGCAAAACTTGCGATTCAACTTTAGGATCTACTTCTATTGAAGCTATTTTGTTACTTATAAAGACACAGCAGAATTGTACTGTTATCAAGAAATTCTTTGTAATATTGAAAGAACCCTTCCACAATTACCTATGTATCTGTGTTTGTGTTATATATATTCAGATACATATATTATGCCAAAATATGATTCCCTCTCTGAAGCATGATTTATTTCCTTTATCATCAGAAAATATTATCCTTTTTTTGTTTATGTAATACCTTTTAATATTGAGTTTTGTCATGTTTTGAACATTTTTTCATACTGTGTTTTGAGATTAAACAAACAGCTTTCAATTAATAGCTCTATTAAATACTCATGACATGCACTAGCAGTGCACACGTTTATATTTTATGTATACATACTATATATATAAACTTATCCTATATATTTATACTATAGACTAGAATTATGCAACACTGTTGATTCGTAGAATTACAACTTTTAGTCTGCAAAACAACATCCTGTAACAAAAAACCTTTCAATAAAGATAGTGATTGTCTTCAATAAATTTTAATAATTTTAATAAATTTGAACACCACTTGATCCCTGTCCAGCAGGATCCACACTTTAGAGAAGAGGAACAGTCAAAGATCCAGCAACTGGCTTTCCCTGTGTGGTGTGTGATCCGAAGTTCCAACAGACTGACACTTTTTTTTATTTCATCCTGGAGGTGGGCTGAACTCCTCGGTGAAACATGGCTATGGGACATGAGGACCAGAGGGTGACTGGGGAAACTGGGTTCCTGAAGGTGTTCTCAGACCATGGTGAAGGGCAAGTTCAGTCTTGTCCCAAATCTCCCCATGTCACCAGCTTGCCCGAAGTCACCACAGCACAGTTTAGAGGCTCTGCCCATTGTTATCTTTTTCTTCCCATCTGGCATTCATATGCCAGTATTGCTGTAACATTCTTCAGAGAAAACACGTGATAGCCATCCTCAGCAGCTGCAGTCAGGTAAATACAGTGCAGCGACATTTGAAGTTTCTTCATCTCCCAATGTCTGTGGAGCCTCTTCTTCCAAATCCGCAAAGCCAAGGTCCTCCTGCGTTCCGCTCGCCGTGTCCGCGGGCAGCCCACGTCCCGGGGCAGAAGAGCTTGGCGAGCAGGTTCAGGAGCCTCTGCCGCAAGTCCCACCTGTCGCCGATGCGGGTCAGCTCCAGGGCGCACTCCACCGCCGCCTCGCGCCCTGCGGAAACGCGCGTGGTTACCGCTTTAAAGGGACCCCCACAGTACGCCACTTTATGTCCAATTTTTTTACCTTTTACTCATCATGAAGCACACCCCATCCCGCACCCTCTCTGCCCCCACTCACTGGGAGCAGCAGCTGCATCCCTCTCGCCTCCAAACGAGCGCCCGCCGCCGCGCCAGGCGCTGGCCGCCCAGCCGGTGCTGGAGCCGGGCAGCAGCGCCCGGGAGCAGGACGGTGTGTCTCTGTCCCTGTCCCTGTCCCTGTCCCATCCCATGCCGTCCCGTCCCCCGCCTTTTCTTTCCCCTCCGGTACCTGCAGGAGCGGCTGGCGGCGCGGTTTTGCGCGGGGTCCGGCCAGGCATCATCGCGTCGGCGGGACGAGGATCGGCGGGGCACGGAGCGCCGGGGCTCGGCGAGACTCGGCACGGGGAGCCTAGGCTCGATTCGGCGGAGCACGGGGCGCCCAGGCCCGGCGGGACGCGGAGAGCTCAGGCTCGATTCGGCGGGGCACGGAGCGCACAGGTTGCTCTCGGGCCGGTGGCAGCAGCGTTCTGCTGGCACGGGGGCGGAGCGCGGCGCTAAAAGCGCGGTGCGAGTCCAGCGGGGATTTCCCTCCGTCCTGACGTAGCGAAAAGGCGCGGGGATCCCGCCCCCCGCGCCCGGCGGGCAGGCGGCGGCGTGCCCGGGCGGCGCGGGGCCGCGGCCGGGACGCCGCCCACGCTGCCGGCCCGGAAAGGGCTGGAGCAGTGCGGTGTGCGGAGCGGGAGGATGGGCTGTGCGCGGGGCAGAGGTGGAGGGATGGGGACTGCTAAGCGAAAAGGGGATGGAGGCGTGGGGTGGGTTTGTGGTGGGTCAGGGGAGATGAACAGTGCGGTTTGTATCATCAGGGCACAAAGAGGCAGAAGGGCGAGCTGGGCTTGCTCTAGGCAAAGAGAAATGGGAGGGTGGGCTGCGCTTGTAATGGTGGTGGTCCAGGGAACGTGGACAGGGTTGCAATGATGATGCTGAGGAGGAAGAAGTGGAGAGATGGAGAGTGCTTGGACAAGCAGAAGAAACAGAGTGTGTTATTATCATAGAAGCATAGAATAGCTTTATTTGGAAGAGACTTCTTGAAGGTTTTCTAGATCAGTCCCCCTGTATTTTGCTGCTTGTAGCCACAACGGCAGAAAGATTGTCACATAGATCAGGTTGCTCTAAGCCCCATTCAACCTGACCTTGGATGTTTCCCAGGATGGAAAATCCGCCACTTCTCTGGGCAACCTTCACCATACAAATAAAAAACTTCTTCCTTATAGTTAACCTAATCAATGCACCCCTAGTTTAAATCATGACTCTTTGTCCTATTGCAAAAGCTCCTTCTGAAATGTCTGTCCCAGTTTTTCTTATAGGCCCCCCTCCAGATACTGAAAGTCTGCAATAAAGCATTCCCAGAGCCTCCTTTTTACCAAGCTGAGTAACCCCAATTCTCTAAGCCTTACTTTTATTCAAAGTGATAGTGACCTTGCACTCACACCAGCCATGGAGAAACAATCTCCATGTACCACTTGCAACAGCTTGGGGGCCACCCCCCCGCACTGCTGGATATTTCCTGTTGCAGTGCAGGGTCTGCATGGCATGGTTCTGGCTGACACATGACAGGGCACACTTACCTGTGGCTGCTGTAATTTTAGATGGTGTTTTTTGCAGGAAACAAGAGCTGGAACAAAGTCACGCTCATGTCTTTGTGATTGCTGCAGAATGTTGGGAGAGCTGCCAGTGATACGTGGATCACTCATCTGCCTCCTGTCTCTGAGAGAGTTGATATTTCATGTTGTGACACATGCCATGGACTTCTGCTTTTAGGGGAAAATGAAAACTGCTTGATGCAAAGAAAGCACAGATGGGTCAGACATAACAAAGAACTGATTTATGGCTGAAAGTCAGTAAATTACTACCTCTCCCATCAAAACAAAACTTAAAATGTCATAGTGTAATACAGACCCATAACAGGATGTTAAGAGGCTCCATTTTATGGGGTAGAAACCTCTGAAGTCAAGTGTGTAGAAATGCTGGTGACTTTGAAGTTCCATTAAAAGGGGAAGCATTCACCAGCACAGTGCAGACAGCCTTTTCCCTGCTATTTCCCAGAATGATGGAAAAACATCTTGAAACATGGCTGATTTCTCTCCCTGTGTAGGAAACCTCAGCCCCTTGGTGCTGACAGGAGGCATCTGGCACAGTGGTGCTGCAGGGCTGGCATGTGGGAGGGGCAGTGATACAAGCTCACAGACAAGACATTTCTCAGGGTGAGACATCTAAATTAAAGCTATAGCTGGATGAAGCTTTTGCAAGGCCCTTCCCAAAGCAGTAAACCAGCTCTGTCAGCACCACACAGTGCACCCTGCCAGATCGTGACCTGGTGTCAGAGCAGCTTAGGTTGGCCACAGAAAAGTTTCTAATGTTTTTGAGGATGCATTGCCTTTGTCTCTCAGCTGGTATATAACCTATAAGGCGTGTGGGCTAATTTCCTTGACCCGATATGTTTGGGGTCCCTTCAGCTGTATGAACATGCCTGTTAGTAACTCAGCCCTGTTCAGGCAGAACTGGCCTTTTTCAGGCATTCCTGTTACATAAGAAACTATGTCTTCAAAACAAGTTTGTTGGGTTTTAGGAGATGGCAAGGCAGGTAAACAGGTCAGGAGGATGTTTGCATGATGCGTCATACCTCGTGAAGGAGGTGTAGTGGTCTGCAGCATGTGATGCCTAGGGCTGCATCTCATAGCCTCACTCCAAGAGCTGCTCCACAAATCATGGAAGCCTCTCCAGAATGTCATCACAAGGGGCTAGGGCCTAACTGAGACTGCCATCTTACTAAAGGGCACCCCACATGCCCCTCCTGCCCTACTCGGTGCTCAGCAGAGCCCAGTGCAGGCAAAGCACCCACAAACTCAAGCCATGAGGTCATACTGGTCTCTTATGCCACTGGCATGTGTGTGTGACTTTGCACATTTATTTTGCATGTTTAGACAGAGCCATTTATGACTTATGGCTTGTTCTTCTTTGTGAATCTGGAGACAGATTACATCCTTGGCAAATTATTTAAATTACTCTTCATTAAGTAAAGCCAAAACCAAATTAACCTCAATCAATCCTGTCCTGCTCAGCAACACTTCCTCACCCTGAAGGGAGATAAGCTTAAAGGGCAGCTTCTGTCTATACCCCTGCAGCCACACAAAGAGATGGGCGCTTCTTTTGAGTCTGTGGGGGAGAGATTCTTTCCTATCAGTGCATAAACTAGTGGGATGGTTGAGTTGAGAGCATTAATTTATATTCTTTATTTTAAAGTAGTGAAAAAGATAAATAAAAACAAGATAATATGCAATAAAGGATACAAGATAATACAGAAGGATAAAAGGTAAAAAAAAAGGGTACACTTTGGTGTGCAAAATAGGTTAATAAACCATCCTGTGAGCCCAAGTACCTGAAGTGCTTGTTTCCCAATTGCTACAGTCAGAGCCATGTATCTGAGTACAGTGGTGTAATGCAGGGAGACTCAATACTGCTTAGAGGGGAATTGCCTCAAGTTCCAGATCTGGCCCACATCCTCGCAGGGTTTTACTGGTGTGTGAGGGAGTTACTGATGTGTAAATCACAGCCCATTTTGGCGGGAACAGTGCATGTTGGGGCCGCTGCTGATTATAGGATTGTGCAACAGGCTGAGCAAAAAGAAGTTGATTGTGGTTTCAAAAGCCACTGGCAAGCTCTGATGTTTTCTTGTTTTGATTCCCCTAAACAAAGAAGTATATCTGTGGGAAGCACAGACCCCTGGGAGTCTGCTCTACCAGAGCAGCCACAAAAGTTTTTCTTGCTGTGGCCACACTGAGCAGGACCACAGATCGCCAGGTGGGCTCAGCCATGGCAGAGAACAAAGCAGCAGCTCAAGGAGCACCGGCCAGCTGGAGCTGCTGTTCAGTTTATTTCTGCTTAGTACCATTTAAAATTATTGCAATTACACAGCTGAGAAGAGAAAATCATCTTTAGATAATGTGCCCCAGGCTTCACTGCTGTGGGTGATGTGGTTTTATCAGGAGCATGTCCATAAAAGACAGCATGTGACATACTCTCACCACACATAACAAGAGTGGGCAGGCTTGCTGAAAGGAAATTGAATGTTGCAGAAACGAAATCAAGAGAGGGAGAGAAAGGAAACTAGCTGTTTTTTTTTTTTTTATCTGAACACAGTTATTTGTGCTGAATCATTTTCAAGCAGTTTCTGCGCCTTCCTCTAAGATCTTAAATAAATCTCTGATACTGTTTCATCATTGGAGTTTATCTTCTCATCTTCCCAAAACTGGTGTTGACAGCTCTCGTGTTAACTGAGAAGCTGTTTGTTTTTCTGTCTCCCTTTTCCTGTTTCTGCAGACTGCAGAGTTGACAGTTCCTGTTGATCCATGTGTGTCTATGCACCCGATCAGGAAACTTGGCTCTATTGTCAGGAGTACAAACCAAGGTCATTTCAGGAAAGTGCACTGGCATGTGGCCATGGGCCATGCCAAGAGTGTGATGAGAGCCATGGATAAGTTTTTGTTTGTTTGTTTTTGTGGTGTTTTGGATTGGGGGTTTTTAATTGTTGTGTTTTTGTTGGTGGTTGTTTGGGTTGGTTTTATTTTTGCTGGGTTTTTTTTCATGTATCAGTCTGATTCTCTGGTTTGCTCTTCTCAGACATCTTTCTTCCAGGGATCTCTCTCATGGTTATGAATAAAGCTTCCTAAGTCCTCCAGCCTTAGTCATTAATCTCAACTTCATTTTTCAGGGAAATAGCCTTGTTCTGTGTTAATAATATTCTGGTGGCAACTGCAGTAAAACTTTGGCCTCCAGTAGCTACTGCTGCTGACACGTCCACTGTGGTGAGGGAAAAGGTTAATGTAGCTTTCAGTAGTTAAGTAAAATACTCCAGCTAATTTGTCTTTGACTTGACAAAGTGATCCCACACCATCCAGGAAAAGAAACTAAGAAGAACTGCACATCCACTGCTGGGCTATAACCCCCCCTTGCACAGATCTCATGTGCTGTTTAAATGTTACTTAATGCCCCACAATTATTTCTTAGTCTTTCCCTCCTATGCTGTTCTCTCTTGCCTGCTTCCCTTGAAAGCTTAAATGCATAATTTTCTTAGTAAAAATGAACTGCATGGTTGCTCATATATTACAGTGCTCTGTCACTACCAGAGGGTTAAACACACACTTTTTTCTCTGTGACTGCCTCTGTGCGAAGCAGGCAGCACTAATTCATTACTTGTAAAATGCTACTGAAAAATGACTCACATGTGTCTGATGTGGTGGCCACCAAAGCCGGAAGGGGCCAGCCAGTATTCCTGCTGAGAGCA